TCTGGCTTTAAAGGTGGAACTAAAGAGGGGCTGGAATAAGGAACAGGTGTGGGGAATAGGACAGAACGAGGAAGGGCTGGAGCGCCCTTAAGAGGAGGAGTAATGATCGTGACACATACTGTGCCACATTGGTTCCTTTTCATTCACTGGTCACCTCGTCTCCTGAGCCTAATCAACCTTCTCAATAATTAAGTCATTTATTGTTAATGCAACTGTTTAAATATCATGAATGACAGCTCTATTGATCAAAAGTAATGCAAAATATTCAATCATTATTCCAGATCTATATAACTTAAAAAAAACATACATGCAAAAGCAGTGATTTTCAATGCTGAGTATGTTAACTTACTTGATCATCCAGTCTTCGTATTTTTAGCTTGAGCTTAGGACATCACTCCTAATATATCTGTATTGATCACCGCAACTTTACCTCTTATGAATAAAATGTGTCCAAAGTTATTCTTTATCTAGGTATTTATTTAAATACACGAGCCTTATGAACAAAATGTGTTATCCAAGTGTTATTTTAATTCGTTCCATGACACTAAGCCCCTCTTTGCTCTGCCCAGGAACAACCCCCATATTGTGATTTCTGTTGTTCCTTATGTGAAGATAGTTTTTTTTATTTCATTAGGGGTTCACAGGACATCTTTTATGCAGCAAGGACCATTTACACAGCAGCAATTATTCCATTTTGGTTTCTGGCTGTGTTCACATTAAAGCATCAAGTCATGATCAATGAAAGCATTAAGAGTAGGTTTACTGGTCTCTTGAAACCATTTTGTATCACAGGAACAAAGCATCCACATTTTTAGCCTAGTATTACACTCGAGAGTGAAAAATAATACTGAATTCCATACTTTGAGGCTAGAAAGAAAAACCCTCAGTTCTGAATAGACTGTTGAAGTAAAAATAGATTTGAAAATTTATTTTGAGAATTTCATTTCTTTGTGTGGAATGATTACCTAAACTGATGAACATTCATTTTAAATATCAACATACAAATCTGTTTTGAAAATAACACAATGACAGACTGTGTTAATACAAAATGAATACAGTATTTAACACTGTAAGAAATGCACTGCAATGAAGGTATTGCAAAAGAGGAGCAATAGTCTTAGATTATTTTTAGTTTACTAGGAATAAAAACACCCAAGTATGAAGTGTATCAGATGGTTTATTTTAGTCACAATTTATTTGGCTAACTTCCTGGCAATAGGACAAGATGCATAGGATGTGGGTGAGGTGTAACCAAGGGGTATGTAGATGCAAAGGTGGAGATGGGGTGGGGGAGCAATTCAGAAGACGTATGCGAGGAAGAAAAAGGAATTTTATATTGTATTTATGTTTTATGTGGAGAAATTATGTCAAAGTGATTACAAAAGACTGACAACTTAAGCACATTGAACTTGGCTGTTGTCATTCTTCCCAAACTTCATCACACTAGAAATAGCAACAAGAATGAAGCATATCAGAAGGTTTGTGGAGTGTTTTAGTTGCAGTGAATTTGGCTCAACCGGCTTGGGTGAGGTCTAATGTCCTGGCCATAGGACAAGAAGGCTTTGACACCCCAAAAGAACTAAGTGGAACCCTATAATCACCAATGCAGAATTTAAGAGAGCAAAAAGAAGGTGAGAGAGGTGTTTGTGATGTATGGCTGAGACATGGGGTGTTTTTGTAGTTCTTTAGAAAGCTCGATGAGTGCTTGTTTAAGGGTATTTGTATTGGTTTTAACAGATGCAGCTATTCAAAACGAGCGAGGTACATGAATATAATTATATTGTTATTAATTTCTTTAGATACGCGATTTCATATTATATTCCCTATTAATCCAATTCTAAAAGTATGATTTTGTTTACTCTGATAACGAGTGTATTCACAGAAAAGTTTAAAACGATCAATTTTCACAAAGTATATAAAAGTACAGTAATATGGTCAGGAGCACATAAAAACATTTCTGAAATAACCACATGTAAGACTTTGATGCTTAAAATGTTTAGGGAGAAATGGAATACTGGTGTGTATTTTTTCTTTAAGATACTGTACCAATACCAG